GGTCGCCTGAAATGAGGAAGCCTAGAACTAACTAAGAACTGAAAAAGAAGAATCTTATCTTTGAATATACAAATTAAAATTGGCCATCAGAAACATGTTATTCATGAGGTTCATCAATGTGTGTTTTTTGCACAGCACATTTTATCATTAAGTCAGATGAAAAAGAAAATAAACTAACATTGGTTTTTGTGGTTTTACAAGCTATATTGAAATTGGTGGAAATAGTGAATATGTCACCTTACCTTGTATATATCCACATGTAACTTTTATTTAAATTTGATAAAAACTGAAAATAAAACTGAAAAGCTTACAGCTGACATGTAATAAACTTTTGATCTGAAACCATGAAACCGCAGTACATCCTCCACTGACCTACTCCAGGAAACATGCAGCCCATTTACACTGGGGCACATGTACAACAACCCCTTCCCTCCTTGCTTTCCCTTTCATATCTACACAGACACACTCACACATCTGGCCGGGGGGTAAATTAAGCCCTAACATTCCCACAGAGGCTAATCTCCATCCATTTAGAGGGCTGTAATATTTAATCAGGAGGCCCTGGACCGTCTCCCAGTAACACACGCTGTGGCACGGTTCATATGTTCACAGGAGAGGCCAGCCCAGAGGCGACGGAGGGGAATTCACTGCTAAAAGCCACAACGCATTCAACCGCAGATCCTCTTGCTCTCTTTTACTCTCTGATGCAACGTTTCTTTGGGGTGGAGAAGACAGGGTTCATAACTTTGGCAGGACATTTGTAGTGTTTTTGTTAGATATATTCTTTATAGTTCACAGTGTATGGATACTTTTCATTCCAGTACTTGCTTGGCCCCTTGCACCGTTATCATGCACTGCCAAGCCACTAATGACTGTATTGCTTCTTATGCATATAAGTTTGTGCAGGGAAGGGACATAATAACATATGTCATTTCTGTTGTAATTCAACTGATGATTATATTTTACCAGTTAATATTGATTATGTTTTGACTATTTAATATAGGTATTTGGGGAAAAAAAGGTAAAGAAATGTTTAAATAGCTTGTTTTGGCTGACAAACTGAATTGAATAGATTTAGTTTACAATGCTATAAACCTATAAAAAAGACAAAAAGAAGTAAATCTTCACTTTTCACGAGGGAAAATCAAATAAAATCTTTGGCTTTTTGATTTTGTAGTGCACTTTCATAAAGTCTGGGGGACTCACAAGAGACAGATATTAAAAAAGTAAGTTCAAAAAAAGCACTTACACATCTTACACTTTTCATAATGCAGTTCAATGGCGTCTTTCCGGTTAGACTCTCACTGAACACATCTTTGAAACCCCATGAAGCAGTTTGTAACAGAGCCTTTCTGGTTAGAAATCCGAAGTCAGGAATCCACAAATCCAAGGCTTCCCAAACAGATCAGTGCTAAGAGCTTGATCCTGGATCCAAATACATTTGTGTTCTCGATATCTCTGAGTTCCTGTTTGTGCACATATTTAGCATATGTTTCTCTCAACAGCTGTCTTTATTGTAAAAATGTTACCCTAAGCCGAGACGCTGTTTCCACAGGTTGTGTAGAGCTCCCCATGAGTAATAAATTAACTAAAAATTTGTGTAATGCCCCTTCAATTTTCCATCAAATGAGTAATCAACTCACTAATCATTTAAGCACTAAGTGTAATAAAATAAAGCCACCAAAATGGCCTTTAGAATGAGCATAGAGTTTAATCAGCACTTCTCAATAGAGTCTCAATAAAACCTGAGCATTTCATCCTTCATGAAGTTATTGCAGGGCTGTTGTCTTGTCAGGTGTTCCTGTTATTCTGGCCGTTCCCTCCACACCCTCAGTGTTTCAGGCTTCTTGACAGTAGGAAGTGAGTATGCTCAGAGGTAGACAGTACAGTGTAAGCCGCCCTGCCCGGAGGTATCACACCGAAAAGAGCCAACTGCTCTCACACTCACCCACAAAGGTCAGGTCTTGCACCATCAGTGTGAAAAGCCTGCACTGAAAAGGTTATAGTCCATCTGTTTTTAACAATTCAGGATTGTTGATGGTTGTGAATGTGCATCTGTATGTACAGTACATACGGCATGTGCTAGACCTGACCTACAGCAAAAAAGAAAACAACAACAAAAAAAGCTGTGATTTTGTGTTTTCATAAACATTACATTTGCGTTGCTAAATACTGATTGATAAAAATGTGTCGTGTGTGTGGCCATTGCAACGCCTGCTCCCTGATTCAGACTGACTCTAATGGGAAGGCCTGGTGAATTTTTCATACAGCCCAGAGGGGGAGGACAAGCGACCGTACTGGCAGATTACAACCTCTAAGAAAGAGAGAGAGAGAGAGAGAGAGAGAGAGAGAGAGAGAGAGAGAGAGAGAGAGAGAGAGCAGTAAACTAAAGGAGTAACCTTGAACACTTGCTAAGAAAGGATTAAGTGAGTCAAACTTGAGATTTTTGAATCACATCCTGCAAAAAAATCATTCTGGCTACAGCAAAACAATAGGCCTACTACAAATATTTGATTCAGGTCTGTTGGAGACCATTCTTTTTTTTACCTCTAGTGTGGCCTATAGCAGACCAGAGATGATCATGAGCGAGCACACAACAGAAAGCAAACTGTAATCCTTTTGACAGGTTAACTTTTAAAGCTGTATTTCTGTTTTTTTTGCAGCTCAGTGGAGTTTCTGAAGTGATAGAGGTATTTGCAGAAATGGTTTTCTGACTCAATTTGAAAAAAAAAGAGGCATTGTCTTCACCTCCCTCTGTTGTGTGTTCACATCTTTGTTTTTGTTAATGCATGGATTGCCAGATGTTGATCATGTAGATTTTCTCTAATGTTTGTGATTCAAGAAGGATCTATCATAGTTAAAAAAGAGCAAGTTAATCTTGATGACTCTTTGTGAGCTTCGTGAACAAAAAGCAGGCTGAAAAATGCCCAAGATCTCAGTTTAATGGGCTGAAATTTCTGCAAGAAAGCTCTAAAAAAATTATCCATCTGTTCAATGCACACATGCCACAGCTCACTCAGATAGCTCGTAGCACTGTCTTGCGTATGCAAATATGTTTTGCCTGGAAATCTATTTGGAGTTGCTCGAAGGAATCCAGAACGGCCCTCCTTCTGTCTCCCCATCGCCAGCTCACGCGGGGCTCCCTCTTGCCGTCTATCTCCTCTCGCGTGGAAAACATTTTCACCAGCTCCACACGCATGGACGTACAGTCAGTGGCACCGCCTTGCCTCAGACAGCTTAAACCACCATGGGCCAATATGCAGATCTCACAGGCCCACACTGGCGGCCCTGTCCGCAAGCAGGACAAGCAGCCCTGGAACTGTTTGCTCAGTTGGATAATACATGCAATACGGGGATACAGAGGGAATAATTATCCACTCTGTTAAGAGCCCCGGCCACTGATTCTGTCCTTGTCTTACATACTTAAAGTCCTTCTTTGGTGCAGAAACAGGAGGAGTGTGTGGCCCCAAATATGAACCTGTCTGTAAAAGAAAAATGAAAAAAAAGGGGATAGTAAAACTGTATCCACATCTTATTTGCAAGACAAACAAAAACAAATTATCTGTGTAATTGTGATGTTTTTTAAATTGAAATTACTGGAATACTAAAAGCATTCAATTACGATAAAACCTTTATAAGTGGGAATTTTTGCATGTGTAAGTATAAAGAATCAGTACCCCTCTTGGGCAGAGATGCAAAAAGAAGGAAATAACATACCGTGTGTGTGTGTGTGTGTGCGTACCAGAGGGCTGAGAGGCCAGGCTTGGGCAGATGGTCCACAAAGGTGTTACCACACAGTGAGTGGGCACTGCGATTGATGCATTGCAACATCCAAGAAGGTGGAACATTTGGCTGCTGACCCGCAGTCAGAACTCATTGGCCCTGCCTTCTCCTTATTTAGCTGCTGCGAGAGAGCCGACGGGTGATTTGGTTGGAATAAACACACACTCGGAAAGCAGCACTTTCCCACCCTCAAGGGAGCCTGGATGGGCTGCGCGCTGGAAACTTCTCCCTCGTCTCTGCAAGGAGGTCACGATGGTGGTGCAGGGCAGGGAGAATGAGCGCGTGGAGCCGAACAGAGACGGCACACTAGAACTCTGGGTTACTGTGTTACACTTGGTTGGAGAAGATCTGACCTTGAGCTTATTCTGAAGGGGTTTTTTAGAGAAGCAGCTCCATATGATGTGATTTTTGTATGTTACATGTAACCATTCATCTTATTAATTTTTATATCACAGATTTGCCACAAGGGGCTTCAAAATCTGTACTGCATACGGCAGTGTCCCAAGACCCTCACTTCGGATCAAGAATAACCTTTTAACAGGGAAAAAATCCTTTTTAACAGAGGGGAATTTCTCGATATATACAGCCAATCAGGATGATAAAATTAGGTGGATTGTAAATGTTTAAGAAGAATATGGATACAGGAGGATGTCAAGCAACTTTCAGACCTGAGCCACACAACCTCCCTTCCCTGATAGAGACCTAGACTAGACAGACTACACAAACACTTCATTTACATAGAGAGGAAAAAGGGAAACTCAGATGGAGAGACAGGGACATGGCTGTGGTTTACTGAGGAACACTGGGGAAATTAGAAGAAAATAGACAAAGGCCCGTAAGGAAGAGCTTTGAGTGATAGCTTCTCTTTCATTTTAGAACTCAAAACTGGTCATCTGAAATGTGACATTTTATCAGTAGAGGCACAGGCATTACAAAATCAATATTAATGGCAGTATGCATCTGAGAAACAGCTGGATAAGTCATAATTAATTAAGAAAAGTGGGTGATTGCATTTCTCTTTTTTCCTAAAAGCATTAATGTGTCCTTCCTCCTCCAGCTAAATGAGTGAAATTCTTTTTAAAACAATCTATTAATTCCTAAATATAGAATAAACATAAAATACATTTAATAACTCCCGGGATGGAATTATCTAAACAAGGTATTATTCCTTTAAAATGTGTCCAAAAAAGATTATTGAAAAAAGGAAGCTGCAAGAATTCAAAGATGAAATATTCTCTTTAATTACAAACATTATTAGTTATGCACATGGCAAGATTTTATTTCAGACCCAAAAGCGTTCTTACATCAGTTGAAACATGGAAAATTCATGAGTGAGTACGCGAACCAAAGGCAACATTATGGCAATGGATTCTAAACATGATAATTGCTATTTGTCTCTGAGTGCAGTTAAATCATTGAGTCTACACTAGAAATAATGCATCTCCCAGTTTGCTGTTTTAATATCTTTCTTTATTTCGCATTTTTATGATCAGTATCATTGGACAAGTGTACTAATTGCATGTTTGATAGCTGTTTTTGTTACAATATGATAAATACTGACAAGAAAGAAGATCAGTTTAGTTAGAAGATATTTTGAAATCAATTATAGCTGTACATTTCAAACCTATATTTGCATTGCAGTTGTCAATTTAAAATGTATAATATTAAAGGCTGTTGAAATTTGCTCTCTCATACATTACAGCACCATGGTAATGTGAGTTGATGTTTTATTAGTTGTTTGACATTTGCTAAATGTTCATGCACTGCAAATAAATGTATGGTAATTTAATCTGGACCCCTTTTTTTGAACATTTTAAAGACTTACTTGCGGCCTCATTCATAACCTCTATAAACATTACTATGCCACATCACATTAGTGGATGGATGGAGGCATGATAATGCTGTTTGATGTGAACTAGTAGAGAGTGCCACCCCATGGTAACATGTGGCACATCGACAATTTGTGTGTCACATGTTGTGTTTTTTGTTTGATGAAGCGTCGAGATAAGAAGACTTGCTGAATTTTAAAAATGAAGAGTTACTGATGTAAAACAACTGACTTCTGTGCACTGCAAACTATTGGCTTTAGCTGCAAGTGAATTTTGCTGCTGGAAATAGTTACAGGTTCCATATAGGATGATATTTAATCAAGATACTGAAAGCACAAAAAGCACTGCTCCTTTCTATTCTCATTACATAGTCAATATGAGGTTCTAATAACATTAATACAGGGACTTGTGGACTTTATGGAGGAACAGTTGAAGGGCTTTAACATAAAACAACACTGAATCTAAGAAAGACAATCACGCATATCAGTATCAGTCCAACACAGATCTCCAAAGCCTGATCCTTGTCTGCATTCGACTCCACATCGAGTCAGTCATCATCAACCACCATCACGTTCCCGTTCAGCTCATACTCGATAGTGCCCCAGTCAAAGATGTTGCCCTTGGGGACCTTGTGTCCGTAGTGCCAGGCCTGGATCATGCTCCTGGAGAGCACAAAGTCCCACATATTCAGATCCGTCATCTCCCCTACAAAGCTCTGCACGGCCTCTAAACCCCCCAGGTGTTTGTCCGGGTCCTGCCCCAAGAGGACAGTGCCTTGTGGACGGATGGTGTGCCCGGGTTTGTAGACCTGGTAGGTGCTGCGCCTCCCCTCCACCCAAAAGGCAGCGAGGCCGGTGCGAGACTCCCAGGTCAGGCAGAGGCTGGTGCGGAAGGTGGTGAGGGGCGGCAGATGAAAGAAGGAGCCGTCACCGCTCATGTAGAAGGAGATGCGTCCGTCCTTCTCACGCCACATGTTAAGCTCGTCATAGTCAGCGGTGCGGTAGGCGAACAGGATGATCTGCCGTTCTTCAGGCAGCTCGGTGGCCACACGCATGCAGAGAGTGAAGGCCCTGAGCCCCATTTCCTTCTGCGGGATCAGGGCCACGAAGCTGAAGTCTGTCTCATAAGGGAAGACCAGGACTTTGTCGGTCAGACCCACTGGAAAAACACAAAGGGGGAAGAGGGAGTTGATAAGACATCAAACCTCTGTTACCTATGTTGTACATCTGCACAGATGCAAGTAAAGTTGCAGTTTTTTCTAATGAAATTCTGTTCTTGAATTTATACCTTGGGTGGCTGAGGAGAGTGTCAGAGACCATCCAAAGACACTGAGTACAACCGCAGTAAACCTCACAATGTTGACACTCTGCAAACACACACAAGACATACATTATCATCTGAGAGTATCCCCAAAATGAAGTCCTACAGATCTATGAACACACAAACCATATCAAAAGAGACAAAATGATGTGAGAAGTTTCAATAGGAAACAGCCTTTCTTACCATTTTGATGTTGTGTTGTTGTCCTCGATGTTGCTAACTCAGTCCCACTTGCTAATGCCTCATGTCCAGTCCTCTTCCCTCCTAGCACAGGCCATGACGTCAGCTCTTCAACCGATGCTCTGACAATAGGCCTGGTGTGTGAGGGCTGAGTGACACTGCTTTCCGTGTGACTGATGCGAACACACACCATTTTCACCTTTGTGTGTGTGTGTGTGTGTGTGTGTGTGTGTGTGTGTGTCACATGATATACTTGCACAGTGTTTTCATTAAGGAGAACAATCTTTTGTAAACAAATGTCAGATATTTAGGTTTTAACATTTGTTCTCTGAAAGTTCAGAGTTATAACACCACTCTGTAGCTACTTGATTACAGTAACTGTGGGTTTGTATGGGACTCTTAAAGAGTCAGTTCACCCAAATCACTAACATATTGTTTCACTTACTGCTAGTGGTATCTAACCATGAATGTCATTGTTTTGGGATCTGTCTCTGATGATGTCACCACCCCAATAGACATGAACATGAATATAAAAAAGCAGTGAGAAATAAACATAATAACAACAACAACAAACTCTCAACAGCAACCACTGACATCACTGGGAACGAAACCCAAAACCTATGCAAAGCAGGGGTGACCAACTAGCTAATTGTTACCTATGCTAAGCTAAATTACCTTGAACGTTAATATTCTGAGTTTTCACAGCATTCAGTCTTGTGTATGTCACGTCACTGTTATGGTCGATGTCCAGGGTGACGCTCGCTCTCTCGCGCCTATGGAGTGCAAGTGACAGGAGTTTACTTAATGACCAACTGGTGTCATTAATAACAAGGAATTTCTGAAAGTCCAACATAGTTCCTTTAGAAGTTTTCAATGATACATAGGTTTTATGCTGTGCAACGACACTTTACAGCCCGACTGTTACGTGATATTTGAGGCCAATACTAATAAATTAGATATTTAAACTTCAATAAAGATAGATCAGCAGAAATTTTAACATAAAAGCATGACATTTTTTAAAAAATCTTTTAATTTTGTTAAGAATTGTGATAATAACTGTATGTAATGGTCATACTTTTTGAAATGCTGAAACAATACTGAAATATCTAGAATAAGTTAATGATGACTGAGAGTCAAGCTCTGATACAGATGTCAAGTCTTTTTTCATGAACATCTGACAATCAGAATTTATGGTATTTCAAAGTAAACATGTGCCAAAAAGATAAATATAAAGAGCTATTAAGAGACTAAACAGGTTCAGTCTGAATTGAAAACACTGGAGTGCAATATGGCAGGAAGAAACTGAAACACATGAAAGCTGAATTAGCACTGAGATACAGCGAGTGCAAGAAGAAAACAGTTACTGGGACAGACTGAAATAGACTTTAAGTCAAGGGCCTCGTATTCAAAACAACAAATATTAGCTTAAAAAATGAGCATTTATTACAGGGCTCATGTGATGGATCGTACTGCAAAGCAGTCATTGATTTGTAATATGATTTATATGTTGGAAACCATTTGATTCCTATTAATGGATTTCTAATGAGCAGCAGTACGTTTGTCATCTCTATTCACCATATTGAAATAAATGCAACAACAAACAAACTCAAAGTTCACGATTTAATGGGGACAAATGAAAACTGAACCAAGCATTTATGTTATCAACATATCTACATTTAATACAGTTTCTCAAGCTCTAGGATTTCTCAAGAGAAAAAGAACCCTAATTTTGTCAAGAAATAAAATCTGAGATACACAAGCAAATTATTTACACTGCCTGCACCCCAACACAAACCACCGTCAGGCCTAATTCATCACCGACACACATTCAGCTGGAAAAAACTTGTAAACTAATAGCGCTGAACTGAAAAGGTGTTTTACAGAGAATACCAGTGAACCAGCACGCAAAAACTCAGACTGAGGTATGGATGAGATAAGATGGTCGTAACTCTTCCAGCATTTCTAACACAGAGGAGGAGGTTGGTACAGTGATGCTAGTGAACCTCAAATCCCTGTAACAAGACACAGCTTAAACCTTAAGTTAGTTTCACACTGATGATTGGTTTACATAAGCTGTTGCAACCGTTTTCTTCACGACTGTGAGGAGAAGGCGCAAGAAATTAACAGCATAATGGTGTGGAAAAAAAAAAAAGACAACCATCTTCTTGCCCTTTGCAAAGGAAAAGAGAATCACTTCAAGCTTGGTGTGAGCGTCCACGGTCATTCCAGGCAAACAGCACGAGCCAAAGACAATGTCCAAGCACATTTTTGTTTCTATGATCGACACGGACAGCACGGACCATTCTTCAAAGCAGGTTTTTAACATCAACCCTTAACAGCTGATGTCATCTATAAAATTCAAACATTTCAACATTTTCAATTAATATCCAGCAATGTGAAAACTTTTTTTTTTCTTTTTTTTTTTTAAATATGCAGCGGCTGTTTCCATTAATTTTTTGTATCCAGTTCAAGGCTGCTTTTCATGAAAGCCTTGTATTGTCCTAATAAAAAACATTTTGAATTACTGTAGGTCAAGCCTAAACATAAAGAGTACATTATGCATACATTCAACTTATTTAAATTGTCTGTAATGGGGTGTGATTGATATGCAAAAAAAATTGAAAGAAAAAAGAAAATCTAAGAATCTACTCATACAGTATGGTGACATGGGCAAGTACGATTGGATATACATTTATTTAGTTCCCTATGACTATTTTTCAATTATCATCATGTAAAATTTTGCATACAAACTGGTCACCCTCGTTGAGAACAAGTTTTTGGCATTTTAGGTACCACTTCAGTAAATGTACATTAAGAAGTGGGCAAATGCTCCAATGTTTAATGAAAAAATGACTAAGAAATACTGGAGTAAATGCCAAATGAAAGGCCAATGTTTTAATGAATTCTACCACCGTGTGTAATTTTTTTTTTATATATTTGTGGTTTTTATGTGAAACACTGGAGTGCAATGCTGATGCTTCCCAAGGATTGTGGCACTCAGAGAAAGAGAAAGGGATAGAGAGGGTGCAAGAGAGACCTGAGAATGTGGCCCCTTATTTTGAGGAAAGAAAGGAGTCAGGCTTGAAAGACTAGAAACAGCATGACAGAAAGGAAGAGAAAGGAGGAGAGAAAGAGTAGAATAAAGGGGGGGTTTAAAGGGAGCAGCAGGCCATGAACACCGAGCCTCAGAAGTTCGGAGCAGTTCTACAGCAAAGATAAAATGTGGGGAAGAAGAGGCAGACCGAGATACATGGCTCCCATTTGGTAGTCCATCGTGTGGCTTTTCCTGCTTGTTTCAAAGTACTTTTCCAGGCAAGGGGTGATCTGTTCTCTATAGTCTTGTGTTGTCCAGGCTTTGTGTTGAGTATCGGGGTATGATGGAGAGATGGGAGGTGGGGGTCGGTTCAATAGTCCTCCACCCAGCCGTTCTCCTGGATAAAGGCATCGATCACTTCCTTCATGGCCAGGTTTGGGATCAGCTGGTCCTGGGTCAGGGGACTCCTGGTGACCGGGTCAAAATGACCCACTCGCTGTACAGAGAGCAAGTTAAATGCTAGTGTTAGCATCTGTGGTTTAATTTTATACATAACATACGCAAATGAGACCATTTTATGAATTTGAACACCATTATATTCACAGTACCCCTCCATACCCCGTTTACCCTCCACAAGTTACAAGTGAATCAGGGCTGTAAAGATTTGAATCTTATCAGCAACTGGAAACCTAATTTTGAAATGTAACCACTACTGGATACTTAATGTGTAAAAATAAAAACCACTGAATTTATTGCACTGAAATATGTTACTTTAATCTAAAACTGTGTGGTCTGTATCGCCTGAATCATTAATGTGGAGTTGTGTAATGTCAAAATCCGGATTTCCAAGTGCCGCAATCCAATCTAAAAAAAAATCAGCATCGGGGCCAATAACTGTAACTGATCACTATCGGCTTTATTGAGCCTGATCCTACCCTTTGTTTTTCGTCATCTGTCCCACAGGTGTCTTCCTAGAGCTAACAAAAAACGCTGATTAATGTTATTTTTATCAGCCTATATCAGTGTGAACAGACTAAAAACATAGGAAATTCATAATGACCAGTGAGTAGGCTTTAGTATCATATTTGCAGACTGCAACTCTCTTGCTTCACTCTCTCTTTCTAATACAGAACGATTCTCATATTCAGGTGATTATACACTAATGAAAACATAGCTATGAATATTATATTCCATTTCTGCTAATAGATCCTCCTAAATGTTACACACTGGACCTTTAAGTGTGCACTGTATATGTGTATTATCTAGAAAAAGTCAACATTAAAGTACTTGGATCAGGGGCAAAGAAAATGTATCTGGATATAGTTATTCAAAATCTATGACTAAATCTATATTTTTGTTATTTGGGTAAAATATAATTTAGTCATATGGAGCACTGCACAACTTGTAACTGACTACAGAGGGAAACTCAGACCACATATTTTCAGATAGGTGTTTTTTTTTTTCTTCAAAGTACATTATTTAAATGCTATGAACTAAGTGTTATTTAAATTATTCTGTTGTAATAACATTTCACAATAAGGAATTCAGGAATACTCAAATTTGTGTGGCCATCATTAGTTTCCATATAAGAAGTTGGTCAGTCAGATCACAGGGTTTGCATATTTACACTGCAGCAGCTACTGTGTTTGTTGTGTTGAGTTTCCTGCACTTACACAGCTCACTATTGTACTTCCTCATCACGCCACAGCTACTTAATTTGGTTGTTCAAAAGAAATTTGTGAATTAAGTATCAGGTGTTTATGTTTATGAACCTAAGACTAACAAATTATAAAATCAGTGGGCATAAGCAAAAACTCTGAGATGGTGTGCATGCAGCTGAGAATAATCTTACCTGTAGGTGCTCTTCAATGTCCTTGCGATCATAGGTGATTCCACTGGGTGTGATGCAGGGCTCCCTCATCAGCTCAAAACTGATCTTCCCACACAGGTAATCTGGGATCTCCCGCTTCTGAATAGACAATAAAACACATAAAGAGTCACACTGACGTAACGCTACAAGATATAATGAAATACTATCATAATTGCTACCACGACACTGTAATACTGCTTAAATATTTTGTCTGTTTAATGACAAACGGCTGCTTGGCACATTATCCAGTCCAAGTTTAGACTGACTATTGTATGAAAGCACTAATTCTAATACTATAAATAATATCAACTTTTTTAAAATTAAGGTACTTTCATTTATTAGGATTCACAGATCTATGCTGAACCCACTTTTAACATATACAGCAGACAAACACGCAGCTGGCAGTCAGTGAGGTGTTATTTCGACTGACAATTATATGAAAGCTACCTCAGTTCAGCTATAGCACCTATAGCAGGCCACAAGCCCAAGCAAATAAATGCCATCGTTACCATAGTAACAGCTTGAGCTGAAAATAGCACATAACTGTCTGTCTATAACTTAGGTGCATTTTTCACATATGCAATCACACACACTAACTGGTAGCAGGTTATACAACACAGAAACAAAACAGACAAAATGACCATAAGCTAAAAAAACTAATCTGAATCGAGTCCTCACAACTGCACATAAATAACTGAAAGTGTGCTCAAATCTATTTCTTTTGTTGCTATGTCAACAACCAAAAAAAGATGGTGTGAAGTAGGTGTGTACTGTTAGAAAAGATGCACTTGTGTGGGAGAATGTGATCAGTGTGTGCCTGTCTGTTTGTTAGCGGTGTAATGGATGATGGTGACCTATCAATGATGGTTCCCTGTTTCTTGCCCAAAGCATGCTGGGATAAACTCCAGTCTACCTATAATATGAGTAGGTGGGTAAGGGAAATGGCTGAATGAATTAATACAATTATACACTATTACATGCTCAACTGATAGTAATAATAAGTTAATTTTCACACTCACTTTTCTTTTCTCGTCCACTTGAGAGAAGAGCTCATCCATGTCCATTAGATACTTGTCCTAAGGGGGTTACATTTCCATGTTAGCATACAAATTCATGAATATTCAGTTAGAATATATAATGAGTCGATTTGTTCATTAAAAGTAGCAAGACGTGTAAAACGTACATGTTTTGATGCAATTTTGGCAGCATCACCCCCATTTTGATTGTCGTCCTGTTTCTCTTTATATTCTTCTAGTTCTCTGCATAAATACAAAGTTATAATAAATGAACCCTTCAACCAGAACAAAATAATGAATGATAAACAGTTCACAGACTTCTATCAGTGATTTCTTCTTGTCTTTATCAAGAGATCGTTGCACACAAATATATATGCATGCTGGATATTTGATTGCCCCCCCCGCTACTGCCTCACCTTTCTTTCTCAGCCAGTATGAGTTTGGTCAGATAGGCATGTAACTCGTTTTCCTGGTTAATGCGCTTCTCCTCAATGCTGTTCCAACGTTTCTTCTTGGCAATGCGCAAAGCGCTGGGGATGTCATCTCCAAAGTTCAGCCTCTGTTCTTTTGCCAGGTTATAAGCTGTAAAAAAAAAAAAAACATCATGGAAGAAACACTGGTTTACCATTAAAGATTTTCCTAGTGTTTTCTTTCCTTCTGACAGCTGTTGTTCCATAGACAACATGTCAAGGATTTAGATATATAAAACAGTCCATACCTTTCGTTATAGAATATTAATATTCCAGTGGTGGAAATCCTGACAAAGCATATTATAATATATAAGATATGCTGTGCCTCAGAGTAGAAGTGCTGATAAAAGATCAACTGTATCATGAATTTGATTATAACCACAGGAATTTAAAAGTTACAGTTGATTCTAGGATCAGCACTTTAACACTGAGACCACCTACAGCTGGAATGGAAGAATGAGAATTTTAAAAAAAGGAAGAAACATATGGACTTAAATGGTAAATTAAATTAAAATAAATGAGGAAATACAAGAGTAACATTGCACAACATGTGAGAAAGTTGTTTCTATACACTACCGCAAAAGTTTCACAGTCTTTCAGGAGTTTTTGTTCTGACCTTTCTGCAGGTTGCCGATGGCCTCATCGTAGTTCTCCAGCTCCAGGTGACACTGGCCTAGGAAGAAGTGGGCCTTGACTGACTGGCTGTCCAGCTCCAGTGCATGCTTACAGTCTGCCAGAGCCTTGTCATGCTGCTGCAGCTTCACATGGCAGAGAGCCCTGTTGGTGTAGTACACTGCCACTGATGGATTACGGTTCTGGGAGACAAAGCATATCAGACAATACACATGTACAGTAACATTATGGCACTGTAGACAAGGTTTTCACAAGTACATTCAGAGGAAAATGAATCCCTTCAATGTTTCTAGAAAGAACAAAACTATGTTTTATTATGTATTAGTTAAGAGAAAAATTCCACCATTGGTATTACTTATCTCACAATGACGGTAACTCACAATAGCTTTACTGTAGCATGTAGCAGCCTCCTGGTACTTGCGACAGAGGAACAGTCGGTTCCCCTGCTCCTTCAGCTCCTGCGCGGTGGAACTCTTCTCCGGGCTGCCGGCCATCTTCTCCACCGGCTCCGCGGGGCCCGCCTCGCCCTGCTTCCCTATCCTGTTCCCCGTCTCTTCGGCTGGCGAACTGACAGGTTCAAAAATGTCCCTGTCCCTCCTGGATGTCACAGACCAGATGAGAGACACGGTGCATGTAATGTTAAGTCAACATTCACTGCAATGCACCTGCAATGCGCGTCTTGGGGCGAACTAGGTGCAGTCTTTGATGGCACCCAAAAGGCATTGGTTTAATTCGCTGAGTGTGCACACCGCTCAGAAACACAGCGAGGTGGCTAGACTGCCGGCGAATTAACTATTCATGTGACGGACATCACTGGCGAGTAAATGAGCAGCACAGCTAGCTAGGAAGCCAGCAGACAACATTACACACTCACTGCCCCCCCCACCACCAACCCCGTTAGTGAAAGGCATTTAAACTGTAAGGTTACACCGCTGGTATACAAAGGTAACGTTAGTTCAATGTTGTAAACAACTAACGACCAGTATGGTTAGTAACGTGTGGCTCAATAACATTTGATTGATTTGATACGAGTGTTACAGCACCGGGTACGGAGACAGAGTGACAATGTCGTTAACTTTAGTTACAAGAGAAACAAGAGATCGCTGCTCAGATGTTAGCCAGTTAGCTCGATAGCTAGCTCGATTTACGCCGGGCGTTTAACTGAAACGAGGACATTTCTGCTCACTCGGCTTTATTAACTACAGTCACACATATACCTTTGTGTTCAGGAGCTGACTGGGAAGTTTGGACTGTAACTATTATAGGCCTGAAAAAGTCGTATTGGCAATTATCTGAACATTTACATCAACGCCGCTAGGCAACCTGAGAAAAGAGAAACGGGCTAATGCTAGGTTAGCCTGTTTGCTACACAGCCTACTGCCTTCCATTTTTGTTCCACTTCCGTTGGTTTACGGTTTGTTTCTGAGCTCGGCTGTTCACAGTGCTTACCGTAGAGAAGGAATGATACATCCGGTGAAACAGCGTTTATATGATTTGATATCAAATCTTAATCGATATTTTTTTCCCCCATACGAGCTGTCATGACAGGTTGTTGTTATGCTGACGTCAAGCGCTTAGGCGACGTCGACGGAAGCCGAAGGGATTTTTTTATTTTTTTTATTTTTTTATGTATACGTCCGTGTTTTTTCTCTTTCATCTGACAGAATAAAAGGCACATCGTCGTTTACACCTAGAATAATCTTTATTTTTAATAGGAAATATACATGAAGTGAACATAAAATAGTGGTAGTGGCCTGCCACGGTGGCTTTCCAGTGTTGTCGCCGTCACTGGCTATGTTCCTCACAGTGGTCTTCATCATCACCATCACTGTTTACATTTATGATGTCTTATTTATTCGTCTGTACTGCACTTTGGTCAACTTTGGTTGTTTTTAAAGTGCTTAACACATAAAGTTGGATTGATTTGGCATCTAAATGTGTAAAAAGTTATTTGTATAAACACATTTTAATTTAATGATATAAACAAGTTTGTTTAGTGAATATACTGCCTTAGCCTGCTCTATATATTATATCTATATATATTATACTATATCTATATATTATACACAGATTATGTTACAGCCCCATATTGCCACACATCATCTACCCCATCTGACGGGAGGAGAGCGCCACAACGCAACATAATAATCACCAGCAGATGGCGCTATTTAATCAAAATTCTATTCAAACTTCAATACAGACACAAGTGCAAAAAAACTCACTGAAAACTCTCTCTTGCTGTAGGATGGATATTTTGGTGGTCATACGAGAATTTGTTGAGCAATAAGTATCTGACAAATCAAACAAATCCATGAAAATCTTGGATTATATTCACATTATGTCGCCCACTCACAGGTTACCTGTGATTGGGTGACATTTTGACTCCTCATCAGTAAGGATAATGAAAACAGCCCATGCCAAAATATTGCCAATGTTTTATATGTCTCCAAGAAAATTTGTCCAGTTCATCTGTCCATTTGTTGAAGGCATGTTCAGAGAAAGGTCAGGTTGACTAAGAATCTAGTATATTATCAGGGCAATCCCACCCACAGAGAGATTCAGCCACACACAGACATATCCATAGATGACCTTTATTGGCCTTTATAAAGAGAAGAACATTCAAATTTAGGCAAGGAGGAATTAGCGAGGCTGTGCCTGTGGACAGGGTCACTTTCATCCCAGGCCTCGCACAGAGATCAGCATGTGAAGATTAGGGCACATCCCCTGAGCAAACACACTGATAAATGTGTGAAGGGGCCGTTGAGCCACAGACCTACCAGCCCTGTGTGTCCCCAGCTGTGTTTACCCATCTCCACCAGTCTGGTCCCCTGATCCCCCAGAACACCCACCTACCCAACCAGACCCCAGTCCCATCTCTGTAAAAGTGGGTGTTCAAACCATAGAGACTGGGGAGGACAAACATACTAATGCTGCAAGTTTAGATTAAATGTGAAACTGTAATCAGTGAGTTTTCACCAATAGCTTATTAAATTAATCTGTTTTGTTCTTAACTTTTTTGAATTTATCAAATTAAAAAAGACAAATTACCGTTTAGAAATAAATAACTAAGCCTATGTAATTTGTAGGTCACAAAAACACAAACGTCTGCCCTCACTGACATAAATGAGGTGGACACAATATTAAAAATACCTCTACAGTTTGCAAATTAACCATAAAGTTGAATAAACTCCTCTCAACAGTTTAAACAATAACTGAACATTATAACCTTCATGAAAGGTAGGATTGCCTATCACGTAAGGCTGCATTAGTTTTTGCTAGGTCTACCTAATAAACTAATAATTGAGTGTAGTTTTTATATTTGGCAGAGAAATTATTATCACACAAGGACTAATGCGAGCAATAGATGTATTTGCATGTTTGCTATTAGCCACATAAGTGTACAATAATAGCCTCTGTCACACAGTTTTACTCAAATTCCTTCTCTGTCTGCTCCCAAACCCACAGACACTTTTTTACAGTCTCTCTCTTCTTACAAAAATCTGTTTCTGTTCTCAAAATTTCCCATCATGCAAAGACAGAAAAGAGACACAATTGTAAACTCTATAGTAGTTTGTTTTGGGAAAAATAACCCTATTGTTTTTTTTTGACATATAGGTTTGCCTGACCCAAATCCACAACTTACATCTCAATAGAGGTGTTATTTATTAATATCTACATCATCTACACATTATTGATAGTAAATAAAAGTCAGAAGTAATAAAGTTAGATCAGTTTATATCAGGATCTTCTTTCATTGAGCCTGTTTGCTCAGAGTGAATGTGAAGTATTACATTCACTGTAAGTATTATATAGTATTTATTTATATCTCAAAATCATGTTCCCCAAGAGGAAAAAAGACATGAAAATCAAACTTCAATATAATGCCAGTGCATTATTCTGCAATGACACAATTCTACAACAAAATATTGTGTGAACAAACCAGTATATCAGTAGCTGGGAGTAATTGGAGGGATTAGCCGACTGCTTGCAAAGGATTATAAACAGAATAGAAACTCCACAGTGGTAGTTTCTGTTTGAAGTACTGAGTCCTTACATTTATACTGCCTCACCCTCCCTCTCCCACTCAGCTCTCTGCCCTCGCCTCCTGTCCAATATCCCAACCGTCATCCTCCGCCATCCCCCCCATCAAACCAAACTGCTGCCCGCTGCACCAGTTGGCTGAGCTTCCAGTCACCTTGGCAACGAGACCAGGAAGTTGCCCGGCTCCTCTGGCACAGTTGAAAAGCTGCCACTTCCTGATTGATTCTGGTCTTTCTTTCTGCCCGTGTAGTCGTTTTCCCATTTGGCAATGGTCTCGGCTATTCAGCGCCAAAGCGTCTGAAAAGAGAAAAAGGGTGAACACACTCTCCTTAGCGTTAAGGGAAACCTCAGGTTCAAATGGGTAAAACAAAAGCAGTATTTATCCACAATGGTGGCCCTTTGTTTGATGGGTTTGCTCATTTTGAGAAGGGGAAAGGCTCATAGACTTATTGCGGTTTGTTCAAGTGGGTCTGAATGCAACATGAACAACAAAGTAAAAGAATAGTGGCACTGTCTTAACTGAAAGAAGATTGAAATGCAGGAAGTTATCGTTTGAATTTACATCTCAGCTGATTAAACAGCTTTTTTAATGTAATGAAAGGAATGTCGCCACTGCATGTTGATTATTAGTGTCAGACTTGTGCTTATATTGTTATACTGTCAGTGTAAATCATTAATGTGACAGTTTATTAGTAAAAAAACAAACAAATTTTACTTTTACAAGCTCTTCTATCCCCGATTCACTCACAAATATATATGCCTGCCTACACACTCAAATTAACCATCACACTGTGACACCAAAGAAAACTGCTCATTCAGGCACACAAATGCACACACATGCCGGGCTGTCAATCACAATCCCCCCCCTTTACATCACTTGCTCACCCCTATAGTCTGCTCTTTATTCCACTAAGCTGTCATTTCTTGAAATATTTAAAGGACCAGTGTGTGGGATTTAATGGCATCGGGGGAAAAACCACAAATGACCCTATCTAAAGCCAGGGATATTGTAGAAACAAGATCCCAGCCCCCAAGGCATCTTTAGATATAAAAGGCCCATTCTAAGGTAACCAACACAATGGTTCTTATTTTAGGATGATTATATACTAATGTGCACATTATATTCAATTTCTGCATCCTCCGAAATGTTACACACTGGACCTTTAAATCACAAATTACTATAATAATACTACCAGAGTTGTGTTGTCTTACCTGCAAACCACATTTTACAAAGTGAATATAAGCTCTTTGTCCTTTATGTCAACACTGATCTGAAGTGAACACATCAAACCCTGTGGTAGTCAAAAGTGGTAGAGTTCAGCAATGTCTTCTAATGGAATTACACGTCTCATTTAAAGGTCCAGTGTGTACCATATAAGAGGATCTATTGGCAGAAATTGAATGTTATATTCATAGGAATGCTTTCATTAGTGTGTAATCATCTGAATATAAGAATTGTTGTGGGGTTTTTTAAACCTTAGAATTAGTTCTTTTTTATAATATCTATAATCTATCTAATCTATAATGCTAATCTATAATGTAATTTCTCCTTCACAATTGAATGGGCAGGGTGACACAAGGGAGATGCAATCTGCAACTACACCACTAGATGCCGCTAAATTCTACACACTGGTCCTTTAATTTAGGGAGTATTACTTAATAACGTCTTAATACGTACTTACAACTTACACAGGAAAAACAATAAATTTTACAAAGTTATTGAGTCCAATTGTAAAGTAAGAACAATGTCGTATGTAATCTTAACACTTCAGAAGGATTATAAGCGGAAAATGTAAATTACAAAATAAACTATGTCAGGAAATGTGTTTTCTTTTGTAACTGATTATCCATTGTGAATTTCCCTGCTGATACCCAATGCTCATTGATAACAACAACATTTGTACTCCCCACCAGAAGTTACTCTTCTCTGGTGAAAGTTCTAAAATATGCTCCATTTGAACTAATAGGAATAAATATTATAAGTGACCTGCAGTAGTTGTGAATGGAAGCTGCAGCTGCAGCACAATCAACACAGGTTACAGGTTGCAGTTTTGCAGTTTAAAATGTGCCATTATGTGCGCATGCCTTAACACTGAACCACTGGTTGCTAAAGTTGACTCCTTGCTTTAAGAGTTAAATGAGGTATATCCTGATGCTAACCTAAAGGCAAGTAAGAGAAAGGCCACAGATACTCAAGGGCCAAAGGTCATCCCCACACCTCTGCAGCCCTGATTAAGCTTCCTGACAAAGAGAGGAGGTGGGTTAACTAAACTCTAAAAAAGGATAGCTCCATCTCCTTTATCCAGATCTTGCACACACATACAAACCAACAAAATGTGGATTGTTAAGGAGAGCTGAATCTCCAGTGCTCACATTTTAAATTGCAAAGTAATATTGGATTATAGAATGCAAATAAAGGATCTAAGGAGATATTGTGATCAGCAACAACTAAAATTGCTGATGTGATGTAGCAACTTTATACAGATAGAGGGATAGACTTTTCTCTTTCTCAGACTTGATCCAAATGATCTTCAGTGTCTTTCTGTTGGATTGAGGCCTAAAAAAAGCTTAAGTAAACTAATATCAAAGAGTTTGTTTTTTAAACTTGCAGTGTTAGTCCAAAAATCTTTTACACCCTGGGGGGTTAACAGCACACTGGCTGAGACACCCCCACCTCCTTAAAACACACACACCATGGATTGATGTGTGACGGCTGGGGGTGGAGGCGGCTGCTGTGTGGCTTGTATAAGTGGCGGGGGAGACGTTTTACAATAGGGTTTTTGGAGGGAAACCAAAACTCTTGTACCTAAGTAATTTGGGGATGCGGAGGGAAATTCATCCTCCCCTCCCTCACCACTGCATTTATGTGAAAAATAAAGTTAACCATTAATATACCCTACTACCTCCTGTTGGAAACAATATTTCTTTTCTGATTGTTATTAATTGCAGGCTACAAAAGACAAGATTGAGTTTTTTAAAATACAATGAGCTTTGTTTTTACTTGTATCTCATCACATTATCAATTCAAAAGCAATTGTCTTGGCAGAGCTCATACAATTTACTTGTGATGACTAATCAGTGTGTTTTTCACTTAGAAAATCAATGGGGATCTTTACAGGAGTGAACTCAACCAGCAGGGGCACCAAGAAGTTATTTTCCCTCCCTGCAGCTCCATGTCCCATCCCCCTGTCCTCCTTGAATGTCCCCTAAGGTCATGCTCTCCGGGGTCACCAAACCCCACCCTTCCTCAACCCCCAACCCCCCCAAACACAATCCAAGAGCTAAAGCAGACATAATGAGCTATGGGCTAATTGTGTGTGTGAGTGTGAGTATGTGCGTGTGCGTGTGTGTGTGCGTGTGGGCCAGACAGAGGTTTGTTTTGGGGGGGGGGGGGTGCTGTGTGTGTGTGTGTTTGTGATCGTACACAGTCCCTTAGGGCGGATCAGGATAAGGCTTGTGTTATATATGACTGACAGTCCTTTGCAGAGGATTTTCAGAGTCAGTCATGAGAGGACATGTGAATAGTGACACATACACAAATTATGAGACCATTGCTTACCATACATTTCTACATAGGTACAAAATGCATTTTTTGCACCGTTATTGCTGACATTTTTCTGTTTTAAATGATTATTTTTGTTAGCTTCCACTGAATTGAATGGAATCACCACAATCAGTGCATTTGATGAAGTAAATTTACCAGCAAACTAGCAAATGGCAAACCGCCTTGATGGTGCTGACCTTTTAGGGAGAGTCAGAGAGATTTGACAGCTAAAACTAACCAACAGTAAGCAAGCAACCTTTTGTCACAGACACCCCTTTTTATTAAACCAACTGATGCACAATACTGAGAACTCAATGCTAGTATAAACGTTAACTGTCAGCACCAACAACAAGCACTCAGCAGGCTCGCTAGTTCTTTTTTCCATTGCAGTAAAACTATTTATTGAATGAAACCGTACAATCTCAAAGACAAAATCCTAGTGGGAGTAAACTGCCCAGTACCAAGAGAAAAGAAAGGAGCTTGGAGAGTGACTGGCCAGAACTTCGGTACCATGCCACTGTTCTGACGGCCCATTATTCAGAAACCCCACAGCCTGTTAGTCTGAACAAACACCCATTTCTCTGAAGGCCAGTTGTTCTGAAAATAGACTCTTACTTACGGATGTAACTTAACAGACTATTTTAACCCAAACCAAGATCTTTCCCTCAACCTAACCAAGTAGTTTTGGTGCCTAAATCTAACCAAACTGCCAGTGTTTCACAATGTTAACCGCGTGTTTATTATTGTTACCATGGCGACAAAGGTCACTTGGCTCCATCCTTTCCTACATGTCCAAACACACTAAAGTATTAAGGGCATAAAACTCCAGAGAGAGTTTTTTTTCAGTGTGTTTTCAGAATAACAGGCTGTTGGACAAATGGGTTTTTGACCCAATGGGACATTTTATGGGGGCTTCAGAATAATGGGTGCCATCCCCTCTGTTCCTGGCTAGCATACTAGGTGTAACCCACCGGTTATTCCTGCCATGTGCCCAGTGCAATACTATGAAAAGAGATTTTTCAACAAGTTGCTTGATGTACAAACAATAAGGCAAACGTTTCTTGAAATACGGTATTAAAATAGTGAGCACATGACAGACACCACTAAATTAAATTAAATAAAGACAAAAGAGATATTTGGAGCAGTTTGGAATCTTGTTTTTACAAATGAAAGAAGCATACAGTCAATCAAAAGCATCTTTATCATTGAGTACTAATGTAATGTAATGTAAATGTACCTTTTGTAATATTATTGTAATTTGCGGCATCATCTAGAATACAAAACAGAGAGTTTTTAGCAAAGTCTACATTGTGTGGACACAATGGACTAACATAAATACTGGCATACTTGAAGGATGAACACAGAAGAGTTTCATGTATCTGGATGCTGTTAATCATTAGATGAGGTTGGGATCACTGTGACACATTGTTTAGTTTGGATGATTCATTTGATGATTCATCTATTTCTTCTCCTCTTCTGTTTTACATCCTCGTCTTTGTTTTGTCTACCCATGATTCAGTATGAAACATGATTATAGTGTGAACGATTTTAAGGCCAGTCTTATTTTTTTATCAGTTCTTCATTAGATGAGAGTATTGTATAGCCATTAGTAGATACCAATGTTGTCGTCTATCCAAAGTTTTGTCCATCTCTCTTGCCTGAATAGAACAAATACTTGTCCCTTTACTCTTCCTGCAACAATCCAGCTATTTGTTGTCATGTAAAGTTGCTGAAAGCAGCTTGTCTTGATCCTAGAAGTGTGTAGTCGGCAGATCCCAAATTGGACGGTAATCAGATCAGTGTGAGGAGTTTGACAAATGACCAATGACAAGCACTGGACCCTGGAGGATGGGAGGGGTTACCAGGGGTCAGTGCTGGGGGTCAGAGGTTGGCTTTTCAAAATCGCTCAATCGAAGGGCCATTAAATCCCATCTTTGTGTGATTTCTCAGTGAGGCACTGCGGTTCCATCGAATGCCCCCGATCTATGCGTTATATGCCCAGTAAAAGCTATGAGTCCTGGGCTACAGGGGTGAAGGTGTGACTTTGGCCCGGTCATTCCTTCGCAAGAGCAGTGATATGCCATCAGTGGAATAGTTTGCTTGTCCTTGATTGATGCAGAGCAGGAAAATAGCTGAAAATAGAGTAACATTCATTGTTTGAGGCAAGAGAGGAAGGAAACATCTCGTTCTGAACAATTTTAGAAAAAGTCTTATAAAAGCATTCTGCTGTGTAACCAACATCAAAATCAAGATAGGTTTATTTCTTAACCTTGTGTTTTTGTTTATAAGGATTCCCCTTAAAGCTATTTCTAATCTTAGAACTTGGTAAAATGTTTTTCCTTCGCAGCTCTCAGGATTAAATCTACAGACAAAATCTTTTCCAAATCCAACTATTCTCTTATAATTTCGTGAAAGTGGCTGCAGTGAAGCTCTTTGTCAGTAATATGAATGAGAGAGGTTTTGTGATCCTATTTTAAGATTATTTTTTTTGTAACTCCTCAATGTGTGTTATCTCATGTGTAAAGTATGTCGTCTCTGGGGCGTCCTGTCTCTAGCTTTGTTTTCATACGCCTGCCGTCCAAATTTCCATCACAAACATCTCACCCTGAGTGACCCCTTTGCTTTCTGTCTGTGAAGAGGCCCTGATTAGCCTGAATACATGTGCAGATACGGGCCCAAAATCCTTAAGTTGGGACTATGTATGAATGCGTGTTTTCGTGTGTGTGTCTGAGTGTGTGTCTATGTGTGTGAACGTGTATATAGAAGGAAAGTATGAGTGCTTGCATGCACTCATGCATATGTGTGCATGCATGAATGTGTCAAGTAAATCAGGACTATCCTCCATGCTCTAATTATTCTGCAAGTTCCCCTTTTCCTCTTTTCAATCTCTCCTTTGGTTTCTCGCTCGTCTGCACTTCTCCGGACAGGACGACACAGTTCACTGCGGAAAGAAACCACCTCTATTGAAGAGTCACTCAGTCTGAGGACAGACTCCGTTTTGTCTCTCCTCGTTTTTTCCTCGTCTGTCAGCTTCCTCTGTTCATCAGCTGTGGGTCAGATGAGGAAAATTAAACCAAATAACCACATGGAACTGTGAGATAAATATTTATTGCCTCTGGTATGCTTTGCAGAATTCATAATATCCTGAAAACAGAAAAACAGGAGCTAATGGTCACCTCGAGATCAGCAAAGTATTGGTTAAAATGTATATGATTAAAACATAAACATTGCTAAATTCTCATTAACCCCAATGTATGAGATTAATTAGCTTTATTAGCTTTATTAATGCTTCATTAAAATAACCCCGGTAGAAAACAATTGTAAAGCTAAGAAAACTACCATAGATTCATCCCACCTGTTGTATACATTCAAATACACCTGTTATCATGAGAACATCCAGCCTCGCACACCAGTATACCCCAAGGGATAGGTGATATGATACCCCTGAAGTAAGAGGTGTGTGTGTGTGTGTGTGTGTGTGTGTGTGTGTGTGTGTGTGTGTGTGTGTGTGTGTGTGTGTGTGTGTGTGTGTGTGTGTGTGTGTGTGTGTGTGTGTGTGTGTGTCAGGGAAGTTGGGGGTTGGGTTTTACTCAATGATGGAGAAGGGGAGACACCAAATTTTGGCGGTCCCCTCAAGGGTTTCCCCCACAACAATGACTACCTCATTTGCCACAGATGTATACATTTTTAAAAGGCAGGTTCCATTGATGAGCCGGAGGACACTGAAGTGCAGGTGCTGGGAGAGCGAAGGGGAGGGCAGCTCGTGTGTGATGGCATTTAAAAATTAGATCAAAAGGGGCTTAGGGATGAGCTGTAGGTCACCAATGAGTCTGAATGGGCTTGGTGAAAGATGGTGGGAGATAAAAGATGCTCTGGATTCAGATTTAATGTGCAATTATGGTCCCTATTCAGAGATTTTAATTGTCATCCAGAGGCTGAAATGTGAAGGTTCTTAGATTACTGCTAAATCTAGAAATGTAATCACTCAATCTCATCTTGTTCTTGTACATTTATGATCATTTGAAGCCTTTACCCTGTTGTTTTAAGCCTCACATTGTCCCATTCCAATATTTTATCCTTTTTTTATGATCATGTTACCTAATTTTATTTCTATTAAGCACTTAGTAATACTGGCAAAGAAGTAGTTGTTAGCAAAGCAGTTTCAAATGGTACTTGAAAAAGTTAAAAGCATTGGCTTCAGATCATTATTTTCAATGGTTTATGAAGGTAAAGCTCATGTCCATCTTTGGTTACAAACTTCACAGCATCCAGCTTTGAAACTGTAACACATAATTAACTTTATCACTTGAAACATTATACATTTAGGCAAATGTAATTCTGAAAACTGCCCACATTTCAAATCTCCTCAGGAACAGCTGAAATTTAGCACCTGTTAAGCTCATTATTATTTCTATGATATGATGTGAAATGTGATACGTAAAAATGTAATCTTATCAGTCTCATTATTCTGCTGACTGAGCAGGAGGGCGGAGGGTTTGAGGATGAACAAGGAGTTTTTTGTGCATGGGGAGATAGCAGAGGGGGTCATAGTATTGGCATGTGTCTATTGTCTGAGCAGGCCATTGTGTAGGGGGGGGGGTTTAAAGTTTAAAGTCTATATATGTGTGTGTCTGTGTGTGCATGTGTATGTGTGTAGGCAGGCTAATTATATTCTGCACAGCCATGGATGACCTAGCCTGGCCAAACTCAATTCACAGGGTAGGATGTAGTGCAGAGGAGGAGGGGGAGGACGGGGAGGAGGAGAGGGATATTGAGTGCAGTCAGGCAGCAAAAGAAAGAAAAAACTGACCATCCACTCCTTTTGGTTTGTTTGTAACATTTTACAAGTGTGAGTTTCTGATGTGTGTGTAAAATGTCAAGTGTGCGTGTGATTTAAAAAAAGTTCTATAGGGTTTTTTAAACACTTACAATAAAATGTTAGCAGGAAAATCCTGGATGAATGAGTGGAAAAACATGGTAAATGGAGATACTTTCATACAGGACATGAGGTGCCATTAAATGGTTTGATCAGAATAAAAAAGATGTGAATCAGTTGAACACCTATGGGAGAATAGAAAGGGGTCCAGAGACTTGGAGGTTTGAGTTGGTCTTCCTGTAAATTGTCACTCATCTGCATGTCTATTCTGTAAGTGCATACAAAGGGAACAGTTCAATATTTAATATGCTCAGTATCACTCTTGTAACTGTCCCTATTATGTTAAATATGAAGCTGGAGCCAGCAGCTGCTTAGCCAAGCTAGGTATAAGGACCAGAACTGGCTAAGATAGGCTGCTAGCTGAAGATTTATATTTACCATGACGGGGGTGTTGAACATATCATCTAATGCCCTGCAAAAAAGCAAGTCTTCATATTTCCCCAACTGTCATTAAATGTCTTTTTAAGTAATTTCAGCTGGAATTTTTAAACAAAAGTTCCATCCCCAATTGACTTAATGGATGTTACATTTTTTTACTGATCTGAAAGCAAGGAAAACCCTACTTCTAAATGACTGAGTTAAGCATTTTCTCTACTATAAAACACATTATCCAAGTTGCAAGGGATTATGTTGCAGTGTAACAAATTTTCAGGATCAGAATAACTTTTAGTAACCATGTTTGACAGGAAACCATCCTGTTCACTGTGTAACTGACACTGACAACTGGCAAAAATGTGGACATTGAGTATGTATCAACTGATGCATTCAAAACATATAAAAAGTCAAAATGCTATTTGAGTTAAAAGCTATACCTTCTGCAGTATCAAAAGTCGGAGAAGTCTATCGCAACCCGTCTTGACCGCCAATTTATCTGCCTTGACCGCCAAAATATATCCCCTTTGTATTCTCTCTCATTGTATCCAAATAAGGGTATTCAAATGTGGATGTGGTCGAGAGCGACAACATCTGTCTTTCCTGTGGACATATGTAAAACACTATACCTATTGTCAATTTTGGAGGGATCCTGCTTCTTGTTAAGTTTCCCTCCAAATTGATTCAGCCAATTAGAAGTAGTGTGGGGGGTAGCAGAGCCACCACCAAGACGGACAGCGGAGAACCTCTGTCTGACCCCCAGCTGGGCTCCAACAACACTGCCTATCAAACTCACCAGGCTTGAGGCATTAACATAGCACCGCTGGGCTACTGATAACAATACTCTCATCTGGATTTCAAATAGAGGGATTGGGAGTTGCTGTGTTAATTGCAGCTAATGAGAGTCATAAACGTGAAGTGAAAGAGGCTGGAGATTCTGTCTTCTAAAGGCCAACGACTAAAGTGGGTTTCCCTCCAAAAACAAGACAGACCAAACCATTCACAGACCTTATTTTGCAAATAAATGTCATGCAAATCATTACAAGCTCACCCACACACTGCCATTGCTCTAATGAGGGAATTCAGCATCTGTAAAGCAGCACCACACATGCTTGTTTCAGTCTGGCTACAATCAAAAGCTGTGGTGCTGACTGCAGATGCTTTGTAGTCTAAATTTACCCTCAAACCTCACGTACCACAGGAAACTTCCTGTGCATTCTGCGGTGGCTGCGATTTGCCTTTTTTCATCCCTGCCTGCTGCTCGCAATGAAGCACTGACTGTCTTATATTAAATCCTCTGAGTTAGCACTGGAAACACTGCCTGAAGAACCACTTAAATACTGAGTCTGAGTGAGAGTCTGGCCTGTTTACCCTCCAGCTAAACTATTCCCTTGTGTGCTTTTCAACACTGAGGAATGTGAAAATCAAGGACATCAAGGTTGGCTGCAGTATTGACGCTGTCCCTGTGTAAAGTCAGACACTATCATTATCTGCTTATGCTGAGATAAAGGACTGGATCCAGCCTCTTTGTCAAGATATCTATACAATAATTATTAGGCTTTAAGGATAATAATTATTTATTTTACCACAACAGAACTTTGGGAGGAAAACAATTTAGAACAGAAGAGATGTGAGGTTCATAAACAGTGTAATCTTGACCCTACCATTACATCATTTTAATTTAAATGTTAAGAAATAAATTGTGGGCTGGAAGTTTGACACAAACTAAGTGAACAAAAGAGAGTGACAGAAGCTGCAAGGGAAATTGAATGGCTGCAGATGTATCAGGAGAGCTGGCAGGGATACTGCATTGAGGATGTACTGCTACTGTCTTAATAGGCACCTAAAGCTGCACTGCTCAACAGTTTCAGGGCTGAGTCAGACCTTTGTTTGGCACATTTAAAAAAAAGATACTACAATGGAAATTCAGTCAATTACTGTTAGTAAAAGTCCCATATTACAAATCTTATTTAAGTAAAAGTACATAAGTATCAACAGCAAAATGCAGTTAAAATACTGTATATAATACTATGAACAGACCTTAAGTAAATCCCATCAGTATTGATGATTCTGTTTTGTTAAAAGTAAAAATGTCTATTTAACACAATGAATAATGCACAAACAATAAGTATGAAGTGACCAAAATTAACTATTATAGGAAAAGAAACAGACAAGCCCCAAAATCTAAAATTCAGGAGTGACAGAGAACTTCCTGAGTTCAGGCACAATAGATAGAGAAGTCCATTTTAGACACCTGCAGCCTCTTCCCTCCGTTTTGCTAATGAAAAGTCCCCAGGGCACCCAGCTGTGACTTCTGACCCCAGACACTATAATTACATTATATTTGTAGCTGCTGAATGCAAAAAGTGGCTTGCCCATGTTTGGAGCTATAAATATTTAAACGAAGATCTTCAAAGCACTTTTAAAAAATGTATTTGACACAAACACAGATGACAATGATGAATGAGATTAAAACAAGTACAATAAACTAAAAAAAGACCACGTGAGTGAGAGCGAGATACAGACAGAGGAGAAAGTTGCTGCAAATGTTTCAGAGATTACCACAACAAGTGTGTAAACGGAGACTTGATCCCAGCTGCCACAAACAAATCTCTTGTGATTTGTGTCATTCTGACTAAGTCATGAGATAATTCACTGGAATATAACAACACGTGGGCCATATCTTCGTACAAAAGTTATGTGAGCTCCCGGTGGAGAAGATTAAAGCACACATGAGAG